ATCATCATCATCATCATCATCATCATCATCGTTATACTATGGGGAAGCTCCGGATCAAAGCTGAGACCCAGTTTGAGGATGTGCAAAAAGAAGGCTTGAAATAAATCTGAGTGGCAGAAATACTTCTTCAAAATAAAAATAATAAAAAAAATCCAATCCAACACCTCATTAGCTAAACAAGCACTGCCTTCAGCATTTGCAGCCCTAGGAAGGCTCAGCTGTAGCAGCCCTGGCAGACGCAATCTTCACCAGCTAATTTCCAGCTGCCAAGGAGAAGAGCGTGGTGCAAGTCTACCAACACACAAAACTAACTCCAGAGGGTGATTCAAATGGGAAAAATTTAGACTGCCTAAGCAAGCAGCTCCTTCCTCAGCCTTGGGGCAGCGAGCACACCCCACCATACACACACTGGCTGCTCCCACTTGCAGGAATTGAATTCATCCCATGCTAATACCCAAGCAGCTGGGGTTGAAACTGCCCCAAAAATCACTCCCATTCAGACTGAAAGTCTGCCCCCAAGCAGTATCCTCTGCTGCAACGCTGGGCAGCTGGGAGCGGGCTGAGCCTGCAGTTTGGAGGAGGGCAGGAGGGACCTGTGGCCCCCACCCCACCATCTGACAGCTCAGGGTTACTGGCACTATGCTCTCCTTCCAGCCCTAACACTTCAAGTAAAGCTACAGCAGGTTTTTGGGTTTTTTTGCACCTTGCTGTGAAGATGTCAGGGAGAAACACTGTTAGAAAGAATAAGCCAAGCGTGGTGCTGGTTCCTCTCTGAATCTGTCAGACACTAACCAAAGTCTCCAGGAAACAAGAATTCGTTGGTAGATGGTGTGGATTTAGCACCCAAAGGTTTAAAGTGGTCCCATGCTTTGAAGCTGAAGCTGGGCTAATTCAGATGTAAGAATATGCAGGGACATTAGCCCCTGGGACAGCTCCAGAGTCACACTACCATGAAGGTAGTTCCCGCACTGCAAACATTTAAATTGGAATTGTTCTAAGAAACTGCGCTCAGCTCCAACAGGCACTGGCTCAGGGAATCCTACAGCTTGTACAGAGAGTGGACTATTAAATCGATCCTTCCGGCCTGTCCCCTGGGTCCCCAGCACAGCACTGAGAGACTGGCCAAGGCGAGAGCCGGGATTCAATGGCCACCAGCAGAATCATCCCAGCAGAAAATGTGGATCTATTAATGATGCCAACCGTGAGCACCTTTTCTATTTCCTGATCTGGAGAACCGCAAGCATCACGCAGCCTCACTTCCTTACAACTTTCCACTTGGATGCTTTAGATTCAAACCTCTGATATTTCTCATTGCATTAAGGGTCTTTACATCACTCCCTTTCTCCTGATTCAGGATGGAAAGGGTTTTTCCAAATGCCCATTTTCCATGGAAGGAAGGCTCAGGTTTTGAGCAGCCATCTCCACACCTCCCAGGGAAGGGGAGCGGAGGACTGGCTGCCTCATTGGAGCCTGTGGGCAGCACTGCTCGTTTGATCTAAAGGGCAGGGAAGGGATAAAACGGCCCTGCCTCTGCAAAGAGCAGCTATGGCTTGGGGACAGGCACCAGGTCACTGCAAAGACGACTCATGGATGCTCAGGAGAAAAGGAAGGCAAAGTGCTCTCCATGCAGCATGAGAGGGAAGCTCAACCTGCAAAGACAAGATCCAGCCTTGCACTGATCAGCCTCCCAAAGTCCTCAGGTCCGAGGGTCTGAACAGAGAATGGCTCAAGCTCACTTCTGCATACTACTGCTCTCTCTGCTTCTCCCTAACAGTGCCAGGAAAGTCACCCCCTGGCCCAAAAAATGATGCTGGAAGCTGGCAGGAGGGAGAGGGGAAGCAGTGCCACAGAGGGAGGCACCTTTCCAGCTCCACAGCAGCGGAACTGACTCCTTTCATGTTCTTGCCTCCAAAAACACGCTGCCCAAGGTAAGGGACGAGATTACAGCCCCTGCAAGCAGCTAAAATAGCAAAAATGCAAGTGCCCAAGCCCTCAGCATTGACAGGCCACAGCAGGGTGAAACCAGATCTGTATCAAATGACTCAATTTTTCAGCAACGCCGCTCCTCAGCAGATTACTTGACGATGGCTGATAACGAGAAGGGAGCAATGTTCCCTCTTCTGCAGGCAGAGAAGACAGACCAACAAGCAGCAATTGTTCAGCCCTTCCTCCCAGCGCTGGCGTGACGGGGCCATCCTCCCCCAGCCGCGCGTGGGGACCGCAGGGGAGCAGGGCTGGGGAGGGAGGGCAGGGCCATCCCCGGGGAGCGATGCTGGGGCAAGATCCAGGATGCGACGAGCTGCGGGTGGCTCCACAGCGCCGATGGCTCAGGAACCTGCTCGCAGCACCACGCTGCAGCCTTTCCAGCACTGGGCTTGGGCCAGCCGAGAGAAAGGTGTTCTGGCAGGGCCACTGGCAGTATCTGTTTAGCCTGGATTTCACTTGGCTTTTGTCCTTCTAACAGAGGTTTTGGCACTGTCCTTCTGCAGGGGTCAGGACAGAGGAAAGCGTGGCTGAAAGGCACCTCCACCCAGCTCAAAGCAGAAGGAGCAGTGGGTACAAGAGCATCATTTTCTTTAGAGGAGATGGGGCCAGCGAAGCAGAGCAACCAGCTGAACAGCTAACGCAGCCTATGCCCCATGCTGCTCTGTCCTGCCTGCCATCGTCCCTCGGCACCCTCAAATTTTGGCAAAACATGGGGGGAAAATCCCAGGGGTTTGATGAGTGCGCTGCCAGCATGCAGGGAGGGGGTGCTGGGTGTGCAGCCCCTCCCCACCAAGACAACCATTAATGAACTGAACCCCAACTGGATGCAATGGAAATGTCTCCCTGCCCCAAGCCCCTGGAGAAGCCGGGATCTCCCTTGGGACAGACAGTTCAGGCAGGGCAGCGTGCCACCTGCCCTGGCTCAGGGGTGCCCTGCTCCCCGCAGGGCAGGAAGGCAGCTCGGAGATGCCGGCCACTGCCGGGATGCAATGGGCAGGAAGCTGCTGGCCGGGAGGAGGGGAGGAGAAAGGAAGAGGAGGCATTTCGGGCTTTTGTTAACTGCCCCGGCCCCTCTAGATGGGAGGAGAAAGAAGTGACCCCGGGCCCGCGACCCTGTAGCGAGGTGCGGGGGAGCCATGTGGGGCCACTGACAAGAGCGCCCGCCTGCAGCCCCGACGGGCTTTGCTTTGAGGAGCTGTTTATAAACAGAGCCGGCGTGTGCTAGGAAACATCTGGAGGAGAGCATTTCCAAGCATTCAAACGCCGGGCGCAGGCAGCCCAGATAAAAAACCCTGCTTCCACCAGGACTTCCCTTGCTGGCCCAGCGCAGGGCGCTCCGGCCGCACGTCCCCTGCCTCGCAGGCCGGTGGTCACGAGCCCCAGCTTGTAGAGCTGCCATCGCACCCTTTTAAAATGCCTCGCTGAGGGATAGCTGCCAGGGGGAGAAGGGACCGCTGCAGGTCCTTCTCTTGCTTTCATGCACAGCAAGGGGCAAATGCTGGGGAAGGTGTCCAAACCCATGAACTTCCACCTGTTTACTTCAGCTCTGGGTTATGGGACAACCTCATGGGACGAGCTGGAAACTGCTGGTAAAGCAGCAGGGTGCTCTTGCTGTCTAGAAAGACAGGGAGGAGGAGTTACTGCCAGCTGGGTGATCAACAGCAAGCCCAAAGCACTGGTCCCACAGGCAGCAGACTGGGCTTGTGTGCCTGTACGCACCCAAGATGTTCAAGAGGCTGAAAACCTGCCACACCAGCTGCGCAGCCGCCGCTGGCCCTGCTGATGAGGACATGGGTCCTCTCCATGCGGCCGCACCTCCAGAAATGCAGATAGCCTGCGGGATCCCCACCATGCAGCTGGGGAACTGAAGAGCCAGGTCAAAAAGACATGAAGTGAAACCAGAAGCCAGGCCAGCCCCAGGGTGGCTGCAGTCAGAGGATGCTCCTGGAAGGCTGCGGGGCCTCCGAACGTCGCTGTGCACCATGCATGTGCACTGCATGAGCCCAAGCAGCGTGGTACTCAGGGAGGAAGGCTGCATAGCCTCTCCCTCACCAAAGGGGGAAGCGAAGCCAACAGCCATGGGATAAAGCCACAAAAATAAGGGGTCTGCAAGATTATGGATGCAATCAACAACCCTGGATCACTAAACTTCTTGCTGGAGCTCACCAGTTTGCTCCCATCTCTTGCCAGTGCTGGCAGAGTTTGGGCCAGCTGCCTGCGAGGGCAGGACGGGCAGCAGCAGCGGGCCAGCACCTTGAGGACATATTTTGTCACTGAGCCTTTTTGTCACCAAGCCTCTCTCACGGGAGTGAAGGGTTGGGGGACCCTGAGCCCCATCCAGCTGGGCACGGGGCTCCTGGTGCAGAAGGGGAGCACGGGCTGCCAGCCGTGCCTCTCTGTGCCACTCCGACGGCAGCCCTGCCAGCCCAAACACCACCTAAAACAACAAGCGCACGCTCTGGCTACCTCTAAATGTGCTTTTCGGTTCCTGAGCCAGAAAGCAG